AAAAAAAAATAGATCAACAGCTGATGGAGAAATAAACTGTGGACCTACGACGGAAAACTTACGTTCAAAATTTACAAGCGGCATTGAACTAGATGACTACTACGCCATTAGATTCAAAATGTTCCATAGGAAAAGACAAACGCGCTTTTCAAAGGAATAGTTCAGTCATGGTACCAAAACATGTTCTATGTTAATTTTACACGTTACTCATAGGATTAATCCCTCACAGCAGGGCCAGGCGCAACTGAAAGAAACGAAGACAAAGGTGTGCTATTTTTGTAACTCACTTAAAAATAGGCAATGTGTATTTACAATTTACTTAGTGCAGTAAGTTAACATCAATAAATGACACCCCTCTTAATCTAATTTGGATATACAGACAAGTTTAGTTCTTTTTTCGAAAACCTCATGCTCTCCATATTACTATCCGTACGCTACTAGCTTTTGTAATTCAAATACACGGTGTTAATACAAGTCGTTCCACTCGAAAACGGTAATTAGAACTCACAACAAACAACTGTTCTTAGTTTCAATTTTTGATTTGGTGCCCCGGTTCGAAGTTATTGGCGTTCTTTTGTTTTTCGAAACATCGTCATACCTCCCTTATTTTAAGGACTATTGAAAAAAAATAACTTTAAAATATTTGCATTTGCAATTCTTTTTTCAAATAGCAAAACGGCCATCGATCAAAAACAAGAGTTTAGATAACCACTCCATCTATTTTTGAAAGTAAAACATTTATAAAAGCTCTACACTCTTTTTCCGACTTTTTGATTTTCAAAATTGTCACCATTCGCAGCAACGCAAGCCTGGCAGCGTTTTTTAGTTGGTAGAGACGTAGAGACCCTCGCAATGACTGCCTGCTGTAAATGGACAATGTGCAATTAGAGAGGGAAATCAAATTTTATGCTCTGTGGTCGAGGTCGAACACAATTTTCAAAATACATTTACAATCCAAAAAAATAAAGTTTATGCCAAGATTACGAAAAATTCACAACAAAAAAAGGAAAAGCAATGCTATTTTTACCGTTTTTTACCTGGATCCATCCATTGACATTTACACCTTGTAATTAGAACGTAACCCCGCAAGATAAGCCCACGGAGTCGCGCTAGTATTTGTAAGTACGTGATTATCTATCAGCTGTCTCGTTTATCGTTTCAAAGCGACCTTGTTTACGCGCCGGGCTATCGTTAAACTCTTTCTACACAACTTAATTACATATTTCACATTAAAGAATGCTTCACAGTTCCTTTAGACATTTTTACAGCTTTTTGAGCCAATCTTTACATGATATACAGAGGGATCTTTTCAAACGTCAAATGAAATCAGTTATACTGGCTTGTTTGGTTGAAGTGCAAGGAGAAATACGTAATTTTTGCGCTGCGTGAATTAAACTAGTTTAAAGTGACTTAAACCGCAATTTTACTATTGAAATTCAAAAGATGAAAAAATACTAGTGCGGGTGCTACGGTGAAGTGCTTATTTGGATAATCAGTGAGGTAGTAAAGGTGTAATTAGCGCTTAGAGTGCGTGTTAATATAAATTGAATCGGCTTACCTGAATACGTGCGCTCTTTTGTTGATAAGATAAACATTCGTAAACATCTATCCATACAAATAAATAAATAATATTTAAAGTTGCTGTATTATAAATAATTGCAAATAACAATGGGAAGCGATCTAGGTGAATTAGTGAAATTGTTTGAAGGTTTTAAAGTGGAGATGAGGGAAACGATTAGGGATGAAATTGGCAAGTTTAACATACCGGCCTTGTTAGAGGAGCAGAAACAAAAGTACGAGGAGTTGAAAAGTGACTACAAGGAATTACAAGAAACCGTCCAAAGGCAAAAAAGGGTCATCGAAAACCTAAGAAGGAACAACAATTTGGTATTTTTCGGAATTCGAGATAGCGGTACCGAAAATATAGAAGTGCTGGAGAATACGATTCTAGACCTATGTAGCAATGTAGTGGAGGTTACAACAACGTCTGACAATATTAACTACGTACGACGCTTAGGGAGAAATGATACCAAAAATCGGCCAGTTGTTGTCTCATTCGTTTCTAATATCCATAAAAGAAAAGTTTTGAGGAACGCCGGGAAGTTGAAAGGCAGTACGATACACGTCACGGAAGATTTAGACGAAGAACAGCGTGAACGCAGAAAGGAAATGATCCAAATTAGAAATAATTACAGAGAATCGGGCCAGACTTGTCAGTTAAGGAAGAATGGGTTAGTGATTAA